CCCGGAGATCATTATTGGGGGAAGGAATCTGGGGAAAAGGAGCTTGGAAATAGGAACTGTCCTTACAAGACGCTTAGAATGTTTCCGATGAACCTACTGCCAAGAGAAACCTAGACCAGAATCAGTAGGGGGTAGTTATAGAGTACCTACTGTGCGCAGTATGAGAAAAACAGAACTTCAGTCTCTGCCTTCTGCAGCATCCTATTAATATGAAACAGATCCTTTGTATGGGATCTTACCGAATGTTAGGGACTGTGCTAGGAACCTTTTAGGCATTATGTCATCTTGATATAGGTAGCATAATTGTCCTCATCTAACAAGTGAGAAAACTGAGGCTCAGAAAGGTTAAGTAACTTTCCAAAGCTGCACAGCTGGCCAGTTGCAGAGTCAGGACTGGAACCCAGGGCCATGTGAGTCCAGTAGCCATGGAGCCCCGCACACATGTGAACCAGGAAGCGGCATGAGGGAGCTTGTGATCTGTGCCAGGACAAGTGTAAGAACTGGAAATGCAATACCTTGTTGAGAGAAGAGGGAGAGTGCTGTGGGCTGGGGCACGGAGGAATGTTCCCTCTGCAGCATGTGACTGCTTGGTTGCCGGGGACCCGGACAGGAAACCAATCACTGACATGCCTAGTTTGCTTCTCTGAATCTTTGCTTTGTCTTTGCATCAGAGAATGAGCCCAAACTGAAAAGAGGATGTGAAACTTCTAAACAAGCACGGGGAAAGCAGAAACGCAGCCTGCTCGTGTCCTGGCAAATTCACTTCTGGTTCCAAAGCTGGGAAGGCCTCCTAACTGGAGCGCCCAGCTGAGCCGCATGGAAAATGTGGCAGGCCCGGCCTAGCGGCCCTCCAGGTGCGCTGTCCCTCTGAACTTCCGTTCTAGGCAAGGGGGACGGCGATCTCTGACAGCGGAGAGCAGGGAGCGGCAGTGCGCTTTGAATGAGACTTTTCATTGACAGTTTAACGTCCACTGAGTTCAGCCCTGTTACTGACGCCTACTTCACTGACTGTGCAAATATAATGTGAAGGAGGAATTCTGGGCATACCTGAGAGAACAAACTTCCCAAGCACTTTCAAGAACTTGAGAAGTGCAGGTGTCTTATGAATAATAGGAGGCAGGGTAAGGTGAAAAGAGGCCTGAATCTGTCAAATAATGGGGTGTGTGCAAGTGGTTTCTAAGTTCTCTGAACATATATATAGAGAGAGAGAAAGAGAGAGAGAGGTGGGGGAGCTGAGTCGAGACAGTTTATATTTCTAATTAGAGTTGATGACATTTGCCATGTAAATAATGATTGAAGATCCTGGTGGTGGCCAGCTTGCAGAAAGGGACTATTGGGTGCATGATAACATCCTTCAGATATTTTAAACCATTGGAGGAAGGAGTGCTTATCAGTTCTACATGAAACCCAGAGGCAAGCAGATCCTCAGAGGAAGATAGATTCCAGTTCAGGTAAAGGAAAGACTTTTTCTAAGAGTAAAATGGGTTATCTATCAGAATGGTGAGCCTCCTGTCATTGGGAGCATTCAAGGAAGCTCAAATAAAGCCCTGTGCAGGATAAAGTACGTGGAGTTCCTGCACTGAGCAAGAGCTGGACTAAGTTCCCTTCAAATCTGTGATTTCTATGTCCTTGAAAACAATAGACTTGAATTTTTTAAAAAGTTTTCAGACCGTTCCCTAATCTCAGCGAGCCTTCTCCCAATTCGATTGGATTTCAGAGGTTTCACTGCATTCCTAAACAGGAAAGCCTCCGAGGGAAGTCAGGATCTCAACAGTCCTTGGCCCTGGTGGAAATCCAGAAATAGAGCAGTAAGGTTAAGCAGTTTTCCAAACTATTAGACCTTTTCATCAGCTGCTCTTCCCATGCCTTTTGCAAATGACCTACTAACTCCCAGAGAGAAAATGAGAGCCACGCAGTCCTGTCTGCAAAGGCTATTACATCCTTCCCCACCCTCGGAATCACTGCGCTTCCTGCGGTCTTTCCGGCACCCTCACGGGCGTGGAAGGAAGGGAGGCAGGTCCCTGGCCAGCACCGAGCCCTTTGGAGTCCTCTGGTTTAAGAGCCTGAGATCTGGGGTCTGGCGCGGTCCAGCCACTGACCGGCTGGGCAGCCTCAGCCGGGTCACTTCCCTGCTCTAGACCTGCCTCACCCTCTCTAATGAGAAATAGTTTGGTTGACATGTGTCCTGTGTTTCCTTCTTTCTCAAAAATTCTGCAAGATTTCAGGAAGTCCTCAGGGCTGAGCACCTGGCTGCATTGCTTTTATTTGAAAAGCGCATTTCTTTTCCTTTTTAAAAAGGTAATAGAACTCTCTGTAGAACATTTAAAAAATTAGGAAAGCACAAGATGAGCTAAATCACACATAACATTACCAGCTAGACCTAGCCACTGTTGCCTGAGTGCGCCTATACAATGTGTATAAAAATATTTTTAAATAAAATTGGAATTAGATTATTCGCAGACTTTTAAACCCACCACTAATACTTTTGCATGCTCTTCTGTATATATTTTATGCATAATATGCTCCAGGTATCCTAGTTCCCACTACTCTGCTGGCCAGCAGGATGCAGTGGTCAGTGGTCAGCCGTTTAGAACCATCGCTCCCAGAGCATCTGGATTGGGAGACCTGAGCCTGGGCCCAAGAGTCTGCATTTTAGCAAGTTTGCCAGGTTTTCCCAGCATGAGTGGTCCATGAACCACATTTTGAGGAACAAAAAATATGTTTCTATACTTGCCTCTTGGAAAGCATGCTCTCTGCACCAGGGTTCCCTCTACCTTGTTACATGCCTCTGCCCCAGCCTGTGGCAGAGTCAAGTTAAACGGTGACCAATACCTTCTATTTGGAAAGCGCAACAGCAGGTCGCTGTTTCATAGAGCACCTCTTGCAATCATAACGGCTGATGATTATATTTGTCCCCATCTTATAAAAAAGGAAACTGAAACTCAAAGAGGTTAAGTTGCTGAAGATCCCAGAACCCATTGCAATAAAACCAGCTGTGCTGACCCGGAGCGCCTGTGCTTGGGGCCAGGTCAGAGAGGAGAGAGACCTGCTGAGGGAAATTTCCTACGGGGTGCATTGTGTTGACTCTCCAGGGATTTTTCTCAGAGTCCTGATTGACTTCTGAGTGTGGGACTGAGGGGCAAGCCCATGCTGTGTCGGTAGGTTGCGGCTAAGTAGAAACTAGAAAGCCGGGGGGCCCTGAGAGTCGGCAGCAGGGTGTCCTTCACCACGATTCAGCTCGTGGGTGAGCTGCCCCGGCAGGTGGGAGGCAAAGGAGGCCCCTGGGAGAGCCCACTGCTTTGAGCAGAGTCAAAAACACTACTTTGGGGTCAGGAAACCCTTGACATCTGGAAGCGGGGTGCTGTTCCCATTCCTCTGCCCAGGTCTGTGTCAGCATCTCAGGTCTCACATCAGAGATTATCAGGGGGCGATGGGCACTGAGCGAGCCTGGCACCGAGAAGCCCAGGCAGCCAGAGGCGGGCCAGCCGCGAGGTAGGTAGCACAGGGGCCAGAGAGGACCATCTCTCCTGCTCGTGTCATTGTTTTCCCAGTGCCTCGAGGGCAATCCTGCAGTTTCTGAATGTGTTCATCTGTCCAGGAAGCGAAAACAATTTTTTAAAATCAAAGCAGCAACACCCATGACAAAGCAAAAGCAGAGTCGCAGGGAACTCCTGTTTTCTTCCGGCGGCCACACTAATCTCGCAGCCTGAGGCCTGTGTCCAAAAGCCACAGCTGCCCTTTCTGGGGAGCTGCCCCCGTTATCCCAATTCTGCCTCCATTCTCCTGCCCAGTTTTTCTCTTTATAAAGCACCTATTAGATGTTTCTAAATACTGCAGACAGCCCTGCTTTGTTTTGTGGTGTTTGTTTTGTTTCATTTGACAGGTACTCACTGTTCTCCTGAGATGTGTTGCACCAGAAAGCCTGTCCTGCCCACAGACCTGCAGGCTCCCTTTCCGGTTTGAGTTCCCGGCGTGTCTCTAGAAATCCG